CATACATAACGTGTAGTAGAAATACACAGTAACATTCATATTTTATGTTCTATTTGTCCGTAATTGCACAATTAGCTATATTGCAGTGCAAGATTTGTTTATGTAATATATGCTTATATATGCCAATTCGCAAGCGAGAGAGTGAATTATTCTATTTCGAGAAGAAATATACTAACAAATTAATTTTTAAATATAATTGTATGTTAATTAGCACACAATGTTCTTTTATTTACCTACCTACCATTTCTAATGTGTTTGCAGAATACATAGAAAATGCTCGGTCTAATGAGATTCAATCAGGAAATACAAGTGGTTTCCTCTAACGTTTTGTGTGATACTTATTAGCAATTCGCTTTTGTAAAATGCAAAGTCATGTCTTTTCTTTCAATTTACATAAATCATTTGCTGCTTACTTTTAACACTTGCGCGCTGTCGTTTCGCGACACAACTATAGCAATTTTTATTTAATTCTATGTTAATCCATAGAAAAATAGTAGTTTCATGAAATTTTACCATAGAAAAATAGTAGTTTCATAAAATTTTTGAATTTCTCGACAAATAAAAAAATTTAACATTCTTTTGTATTTTAAACAGATTATTTAAAATAAAGCATTCAATTTTATAAATAATTTTTACAATTTTTATTGCAAACGGAAACTGAAATATTTATTGTCTTATTATTGCTTGCCTTGAAATAACTCGAATCTCATCGAGAATCGAGACAGACGAATCTCATTAATATGAATACGTTTTACACATACATAGCTGATGGACTGAATAGTCCACTTCCTCTTTTAATGGCTTGAGCGAACCAAGTTAATGATATCGCAATAATATAACGAGATCGCAAGATATACTTTATCGTGCTTCAGCGCACGGATAATTGAGCTCGTCGAAATTGTTCTTCCGATTTTAATTTCTTGTCATTTCTATGCATTAATCTATTTTCTTCGCCGCGAGGGAAAGTTTTCTCTTAGGCGGGCAGCAGTGTTGCATCTGACCAATAAGTGCGCGTAATTGTTTATCGGCTGTAGAGATTATAGATCTAAGCTGTCTTCTTAAAGCAAAATGTTACTTGTTATTCCATACACGAATGACTAGCACGATGGTTATTCATTCGTTCACATGAGTAAGAGTCGACTCGAGAGGCATCAGCGAAAGCGAAATCTGCACGCCGGTCGCTGGACCAACGACAGATGAGAGAAGGAGAGAAGGAGAAAGGATCGCGGGATGAAAGTGTTTACGCGGCGAGCGTAAGCGCGAGCAAAAGAGATGGGGCGAGTCCAATGGGGATGCGATGGTAGGGAACAAACTTTCACTTGCAGCGTTTCTGACATATATTTCAGGCATGCACCGGTCGCCTCATGCTCGGCGCCGCGCATGGGACGCGCGAGGCGGTAGCGCGAACGTGGGGGACGTGCAAAAAGCCGATCGCAGCACATCCATGATCTTTGATCCTCGATCGCACGCGGTCCGCCTGGGCCCGATGGAGAGGGAACGATACACGTCATAGTTTGTTATGACTACAGCAACAAAATTCGACTTCTTCGTCAGTTGTCTGCCGGGTGTGCGTCGGTGCCGGCGACGTCGGTCGTTTACTGGTTCACGTACCGACAGCCGACAGTGGTGAAGTGATTTATGAGATTTAGCTGTCATCGCGCGCTCATAATCATTCATACGAACCTGCAGATTTCGTCCCATTAGCGGACTTATTCGTTTTTTGTAGCCCTCGGCTGTTGATAAATGGACTCCTGTCCGATGTCCAATGCCGACATTTCGATACTTTCCACTCGAATTCGACTTACTTGTTAGGTCAAGCTATCAGGTTAATTGTCAGATTTGCGCGATTTATGACTTTAATTCGATATTCTGATGAGATAGTTGATTAATCGTTTTTGTGGATATAAAAATTCAAAAAAATTGAAATAAGTTGAGTAACAAATTATTACTTTTTGGAGACTTTTTATACTCGATATAAAAGTGGTCAATAAAAAACTTCCACACATAATGATAGCAATTACTAAAATATTTACTAGAAAAATTAATATAATTAATGTAATTAAAAATTAAAAGCGCCAAGAAAGAGATGGCAGGCATCTAATATTTTATTAATTAACTTTAAAGTACCGAAGTAATGTATAATTCATATTTGGGGAAAATTTATTTAATAATGTGCCATAAAATAAAAAATCTGACGTTTAACTTATCATCTCGAGTTGATTCTAATTAATTTGTTTGCCACCGTAATATCAATATTCGGAAGAATGCTTTGTAACAAAGTAAACGACAAGTAATATTCGAGTGGAAAGACCTCGCGCTATATCGATTGGTTACCGCACTTATTGTGAAATATTCTTCAATTGCCGATGCCATAACGCATAATTGCATCAAATAAACCTCAGACTGCTTTAGAATTCAATAGTAGAAAATTGCATAGACGTAATGGAAGCCGTAATTCGTAGCAATCACAAACGAACGTTCGTTGTAATTATTTCTTCCACAACTTTTGTTGTTCTTGATTGAAAGTTCAATATTTCTGGATTTTTGTAACGATCATCGAATATTTCTTTAGGTATGCTGTCGATTCTCGACAATGAAAAAATAGAGAAGAAACTTTGAAGCGGCGAAAAAGAGTGCCGGGAGAAAATAGCAGTTCTGGCAGTGAATTTTGGGCTCGGTGTTTTTATTCGTCCTCGACAGGAAGCGTGCCTGTGATTTTGTCGTGTTATTTCTACGTAAATGTCGGTGTAGTGCAGTAGTGCAGTGATACAAAAATTCAAAAATTATATATTTTTCTTTAAATACGTTCTTTTCGCATTATTCTCGTGTATGATATTTATTGAAAAAATTTTCTGAATCTTCCCTCTCGTTTACCTATTTTCTCTCGAAATTAAAACGTATTTTGCTTGTTAGTAGTGAATTATCCACGTGCAATATAAAATGATTAACTATGAGATGCTGGTATAAATCGATTAGCAATTAATGCAAATATAGGTTTGCATTTAATAACAGAAGATTATACGTGTAAAGAATCGATGGAAAGAGGCGAAATCATATCATTGGACATTGATAGTTGATTCAGGGATCTAATTAGGCTAATTTTACTAAAAATAAAGCGTTTCCTCTTTCAGTTCTGAAGCTACATTAAATTTTATATCGATTGATATACGTAACGTGATAAATTATACGTGCCACAATCTAAATTAAAATTGCTTCTATAGAATTTTAATAATATATTATTTAAAAATTTAAAAATTTATTGTACGTACAATATATTTTATATAAAAAAATTATACTATAAATTTTTATGGAAAAGTTCAATTAAAAGAACTTTCTAGAAGAAAAATAAATTAGTGATTTCGCATCTGAATATGTATCGCGACACGATCAAATTATAATTTATGAACATGTAGTGCTAATCTTCAGATATGAACATGTAGTGCCAATCTTCAAATATTTTAATGCGGAAATAATTCTTGAATCTTTTTGTTTCTAGAAATTGGCTTAGTTTTTATATGAAGACTATGTAAGCTTTTGCATAATCAGTTTTATACAACATTTATGCTTTACTAGGAAACGAAAGTAATATTAGGCAGTTATAGTAACATTATTCTTGATTGATTTTATAAAATGTTTATGTTGATTTAAGATAAGATTTCTACATTGTTCACTCATCGTGTAAAAACATTACATTACGTGTAAAAACACTACTGAGAAATAATTATCACTTGCTATACTCGTAATTATATACTTCGAAACAATACAACTACTTATTTTGTGGCATAATTTTTGAACAAATTAACATTTGCAGTTGTAAATGTGTATAAAAAATTTTCTACTTTTCGCAAACACCCTCGCAATTAATGATGATAAATAGCGTCTTAGAGCTATCATCGTAATTAATCAATTTCATTACATTTTACATCTGATCTTGCCAATTCATTTCGTTAAACTTGATTAATTAATGGTTTATTTTAATATGTCAGTTGAGAATAGAAACGGGACGATTTTCATCTAACTTTCGATCTCACTTCTTATTTATTCTTTTTATTTTCAGAATATTTTCAGAGTCAACTTTTCTCCATTTTATTATCTTTGACACCAATATTTGGCGTGAAGTCTTGTGCAGAAAGTTATCAATTCAATATAACAAATTTCACTCGCACATTGACAAAAATCCACTATCTCTTGCTGATTACTAAATATAGACGTCGTGCTACTTAATAGCGTACGTTCACCGCTTTGATGACTTTAATCGACATGTCCACTTAATAAAGATTAATTTCTCGCTTAAATTCCAAGTCTATCGACTTTCGAAGAAAATCATTGGGAATGCCGTCTCCTCTTGTTACTGTCGCGTAACACGTTGATAGACAATGTATTCATCTAAGCCTGTTCATCATCACGTGACGACTCCGACCACGTACATCTTACGATGTTTCGTGGTTGTAACTATGATTGCAGCTGCGGCAACATTTTTGCATATTAACAATTACAGGCCTAGTAAGTTGAAATAATAACTGTGTCAAAATTACGATATACCAGTACATGTAGGCTTGTCATATAAATTATAAAAAAACATCAATATAAATCAATTTTTAATTATTTTTCATTAAATAATAAATGCCTCCAGCATTTATATAACAAAAATAGAAATATTTAAATATAAGAAGAGATTCGTGAAATGGTTTAGTTCTTGCAGCAAGATCAATTGTAATAACTTGGAAGATTTACAGCTGAATCATCAGTGATGATAGATGATAAAGATAATGCTTAATAATGTGTAAAGCGCATTTGTTTCTTTCTTCGCGCAAGATTGATGTGTATGCTGTAATATGCGCGCATCATTAACTTTTCTTCACTAAATGGTACTTTCTATGTGGTTTCGTGACTTTCATCTCTGCCGCTTAGCGGTTCGCATTTTTGTTTCCCCGGTTGATGGAAGCTGCATACTCAAAGAAAACTGCTTTCTTCTGCATCGAGTATGATTTTTTTTTCAGAGCGAACATTCCTTTCCTGCGACAGACCATGTCATCACTTGGATTGGCCTATGATCTGCCGGGTGAAACTCACGTTAGAAGTCTTTCAATCGCTAAGCAAGTAAGTCAAAAAATCCTTCCGCAATTATCGAATGAATCTTCGATTCTTTTTGCTAATCCGAGTGCACATGTTTATTCATAATTAGAAGAATTTTATTGTGAATATACGTCAGAGAAGGTCAAGCCGTGCGACCCGAGTCTCCATGTGGACTTCAAACAGCCAATCAATAGTCAGCGTTTTTCAATGATCTAATGAATAATTAATAAATGTCAGATAATTAAATTTTTTTCTATCTTTATTTCCTTTGTATATCAATTTTTCAATAATTGTCAAAGAAATTATTCGGAAAAACTGGATATTTTATTCGCGATTCGGATTTAAATAGTGAAATACTTGTTTTTATGTTACCTAATATGCGTGCACATATTACAGGAAGTACACAAGTATTACAAAAAATTGCAAAAAACAAAAATGTATGAAGGCTAAGAGTATTAAATAAGGGTATATATTACATAATTATTCACATTACATTTTTGCGCAATGTTCGACTTCTATTTTGTAAAATATATATATGTGCATTGTAATTAGATTACCATAACAGATCAAGGTTAAAAGCGTAAAGTTACGCTAACTTATTCGTTTCGAGCTTTTGACGAATATTAATTTTAAGTTACTAGAATATTGCTCGGCCAAATAAAAAGCGTATGGGCAAATAAAAAGTATACGCTAACTTATTTGTTTCGAGCTTTTGACGAATATTAATTTTAACTTACTAGAACATTGCTCGGCCAAATAAAAAGCGTATGCGAAAGGAAGTCTCTTTACACATGCGGTAAAAAATGCAACACGCAAAGGAAGCGTGACGCACTTCTTGTTACTTGTACGACAAACGACCATACTCTATGTTCAATCCGTTTTTGTGATTGCACCGTCATTTCTGCTCTTACGTTAACTGTGCTACTATATAACGAACGTAAACCTCGGTTTCGGATTCGTCGGTGCAATAACCGTTATATAATTCTTAAGCGCTAACCGATGTATGCGGAAGTCTCTAACAAACGCCTGTGCCAGGTCGACTTATTGAAAGGAAAATCGTAATTATATAGCTAGCAAGAGATCAAACCGGTACATGGTATTGCATAAGTATTTCATAAATCAACTGTAAAAATTTACTATGAAGTAATATCCTACGCAAGAAGTTTGCCGCTTTTCCGCGAAGGTCTGCTTTCAACAAAGTTTCTCTACTGAAATGAGATAGTACAATCAGGCATGCAAACTTATTTGCAGATAAAAAAAGTTTATTAAAATCAATAGCGATTATTTTGATGAAGAAAAATACTTTGAAACCCGGTAATTTTATCTTCAATTTTATTTGAAAAAATATGATAAACCTTTTGCTTTAACCTAATAGATTTTTTCTTCTTTCTCAGCGCACACTTATGCATTTCTACACGGAGAAAATTTCATATAAAAAATTATTACGTCCGGCAGTAGTCGCGGATCATGAAGGAATTATAAAAATTTTTACTGTTTTTCACATAATGGCCATAGTACTTAAACTTATAATTCCTCTTATGGTTCGCGGCTACTGCCATGTCATGATAATTTTTTATATAAAATTTTCTCCGAGTACGTAGGGTTCGAATAATCCATTTGTATAATTATTTTATCTAACTGAGGCTCCGTGATTAACATATTTTATTTTCTTTTTTAATTATGCTAGAAATATTTAAATGAAACCTTGGAATGCTCTGGGCACTGAGGTGATTTAGGCTTCAACATTTCTTTGCTACAGAAATTTTATGAGAAAGAAATCCGACGCTTAATGTCACAATGGAACGCATGTCTTGATGCAAGCGACACTTTCTTTTGTACAACTACATATTCGAAAATCTACGTGAGCGAGTTTGATTTGAATGACCCTAATTTCACGTTCTCTAATATTTATAAAAAAATCAACGGTACATTTATATAAAGCAAGTAATCTCGTGCGAAATTTTTCCTGGAAAATTGTAATTTATAATGCATCGGGAATTATGATTTCACTTCCTCGTAGATCATGCGGGGATTGTCCATTGAATCGGACAAACTGCCTGGCTAATCACTGCGTTTCCGCGGATGGGCAAAGACGAGGAATTCTTACGGCCAATCGTCAAATGCCAGGACCTAGTATTCAGGTATGACCTCGATGTATGCCGCGGATCAATAGTCCGAGTGCATTACACTTACCGCTAGAAATTCTGTGAGATTCATCGCAGCCTTTTCATATCGCTTAACTTTTTTCATTTTTTCTAATTAGACTTTATTCCGTAACGTGATTATATCGGCATTTTAAATTATCATTTAATATATTTTATATAATTTAAAGCATACGCTTATAAAAAAACTATATAACAATGATAAACAAAATAGGCAATGAAACTGACGCAAGTTGTTGATGCTGTTATTTATATTTAAAGTTATTAATTCACTTATTAAACACTCTTGATTCAAATTCGCCTCCTTTGACATTGTTATTACTACAATTTTAGAGGAATACTGCATAAATTTTACACAGCCGAATGTGAATTACTTTATATGGCTTCCGACACCAACGCGCCTTCATTTGCAATCAGCAGCCTTCAACTGCAACGAAGGTTGAGGCTCTATCTCGTGTTAAAATTAATTGCTGCCTGGTAGTGATTGAGACACGTACACAATACATAGTCTCGGTAATTAATCGCGCTGCTTGAATTCGTGGAAATAATCTCACGCTCATGGTTCGTTTAACGAATGAACACTTTGAAGTGAAGCAAATTTTGCTAGGTCTCTGATTGAGATTCCTTAGTCGTAAACCTTTTGAAGCTTTATAAATGTTGATTAAAGATAAATCCTACTTTATGGAATCAAGTGTTAATTACGTTTAGAAATTTTGTATGACTAAATTCTTTATGGCATTCTTTTCAATATCCTTTGATATGCTCTCACAACTTTCATTTTTTATGAATGAGTATATTTTTTAAATATTCCAAGATATATGAAATTAAATATGATTTTTTATGTCAACATATGTTATGGTCTCATAATGGTTATTTAATGTTGAAAATAACAGACGAAATAACATATTTATATCGACAAGTATTCGGAAATTCTAAGCGCAATTGTATTCTTCGCATGGATGACGTAGCATCTTGCTGAAAATCGGTTGATTGACAACACTAATGATTAGACTAATGGACTTTCAAACAGGTTTACGCTTTTACAGGTTTGCGAAAACGACATTTTAGTAGTAGATGTAATTAATCGACTTCCGGGCAAAGCCACGACAATACATTGGCGTGGACAAACGCAAGGGGAAATGCCTTATATGGACGGCGCGCCGCTGATCACTCAGTGTCCGATATTAAGTTATTCGACTTTCCAATACAAATTTCGCGCATCGGTACCCGGCACGCATTTGTGGCATGCGCATGCAGGTTGGTAATTCCCATTCACATAAAAACAGTTATTACAGTATTATTAAAGTAATGTGTAGAATTGTATACTTTAACAAGAGACAAATGAAAGAACTGTCCATAAATAGAAATAATAGACCGTATAGTCTCTTAGTTAAAGAATAAACATGAAACATTAACAAGATAAATGCGCAAAGCAATTGCTCTGAATTGCAAGGAAGAAATATTTACAAACTTTTGTTTGATTTAATGATCTAAAAGATTGATATATGTGACTTTTTATTATTATCTTGTTATTAACTGACAAAAAATCGACACATCTCAAAGTTTTCCCGTTTCACAAAACTTTGCATATACTACTATACTAATGAAGAGATTAAAAATGATAACAGTATCAAAGTACAAAAACTATTTATTTAAAAAAATCTGCGTCTGAATGTTACAGATTAATATTTTGTAAAGCCACGGCCTACAATAATTACTTTCGAGATGCATCAATTTTGTTGTCAAACAGTATATGATTATTTCAGTCAGACAATCGTATACGATAATCCGCTTCTAAACTAATCTCGATTCTATTTTTTAATGCAACCCTTCAGGCGCCGATGTCAGCAATGGCATTTTCGGCGCGCTGATCGTTAAGCAGGCGGATCTTTTGGAGCCTCATCGCGCTCTTTACGATATTGACGACTCTAACCATGTGGTTCTGGTGAGCCAATGGCAACATTCGCCAGAAGTGGCGTTTCATTACAGTCATTCGAAACCAGCGATTCTTTTGATCAATGGGAAAGGCCGCCAGCCCGGTGGACCCACGGTTCCCCTGACCACGTTCACGGTCGTTCCAGGACGACGTCATAGATTCCGCGTCGCGAATGCCGGCGGCGCCGGTGCATGTCCGATAACGTTTTTATAGACAACCACACGCTTCTTTTGATTACACTTGACGGGCAGCCTGTGGAGCCGCGCCAGGTTACCTCGATTACTCTCGCCAAAGGTAAGATTCCCGTTAATCCTTTCCCGCAATCAAATTTGTACACGATCCGACGACACGACGTGTAAACTTTACGTTTAACGATCCTACGATGTCTTTAGAAAAGTTGCAGAGACGCTTACAAATGAATAGTTTCCCTGTCTGCTTTCTTACTTGAGGATTGAAAATCAATTATCAGTTAAATAAAATAATCGCAAGATAAAAATGCTTATAAATTTTGCAAATATCTATCTATTTAACTGTTTAATTTAAGTTTAAACTGTTAATTTCAAAATTCAGAATTGAACATTTTGGTTCAATTGGAAGATTTACATGCTTTTTTCTATAAAAGATCAATTTTATTAAATAGAAAGTATTAAATACGGAAACGGTTAAAAAATAGAAATTCTTTTCTTGCAATTTCTAATACTTCGATTGTAAATTTATTTTGAATAGCATCTGACATTTATTTCATTCTTAAACGTTTTCACTTTCAAATACCGGAGTTAAATTCTTAACTAGCATGTCCTATAACTTTTACCTTGCAAGATTCACAAGAATAAACTTAGATTTAAAAATTTCAAATGTAAAAGCGATGGCTATAATTCTGTTTTATTTGCGCACTTATCTCACGCGAAACTTTTATTACCCGATTTCTCGCGATTGTCACCAAGCGCGCTGAGAATGACGAATGATCCTCGATATTCATTAAAGGTGAAAGGGCAGACTTCGTCCTCAAAGCGAGCAAACGCATCGCTTCCTATTGGGTGCACGTTCATACAGGGAAAGAATGCGGAACAAGCACGATAAATGGCGCAGCGGTGCTCAACTATAAAGGCAGCTCGGAAGTGCCAGCGACAACAGAGGAAATTATCGATCAGCGCGATATCGACGAGATAGGGACAAACCGGTTAGCGATGACGACGAATCCTGCCGAGAAATGCGCCGGTCAAGAGAGTTTGTGCGTCATCAATATTCAGAATATCCGCAAAATGCCGCAAGTTCTAACCAAGGGCAAGATGGACATAACGATGTATCTGCCAATTAACTACAAGCTGCAGGCAACGGAATTGTTAAGTGAGTAATAACATAAAAAAAAGGAACGCTTCCAATGGTAGTGAAAGTACAATTAAGTTGCAGCTTACTCGTAATTGCGATAGGCAATAATTAATGCGGATAAGTATAATCGCTAGATAACAGCTTTGGCATGTGAGTTTCACCATCATATGGAAATCGTTTCTTTTCATTCGCCGTACAAATCCGTTTATTAAAATTTTACAGGAATATTTCGTACGTAACGGTGTATCTTGGTCAGGAAGGCGCGCTTTCACCGCTATTATTTTCTCACAATTACCGCACTTCTTTTTGACTTTTTGACGAATTCAGAGCTCATGTTTTTCTCCTAAATTTTCAATGCAACAAACATAATTTGTAGGATTATCAAAAGTAAGTTAAATTTAAAAAATGTAAAAAAAATAAAAATTCTTAAATTTGAGTCTTATGTTAAAAATGACAAAATTGCAACACATGCGGTCGTTTATATTGAAAGTTTTTCCATGGAGAAATCAATTTGCATTAGAATAATTAGTTAATGATAGACACGTCAATAGACCTATTTACATATCAACTGTGTACACAGAAGAAACTTCTGGATGCACATGTGCAATGCAAATCAAGGAAACGATACGTAGTTAAACTTAAATTAGAAGAACCGTATGCAATCAGACTCATTTTGTGAACGTATGGTACAATTAATTTCGAATCAAGAAACCGATGTGCGATTAATCTTCATAATTTCATCATAATATCCGAATCAATTTTCTCCATTCAGATAATGGCGGGATGGAAACGCGAGTGTTCAACGTCGACAACGCTACTTTTACGTTTCCCTCGTCACCGCTATTGACCCAGGGTGGCGATGTATCCCTGGGGATGCTGTGCTCCAGCAGCGATAACGATGACGAAGATGATCAGGGCGAGAGTGACGAGAACGCGTCGCGGCGCCGGTGCCGTTCCGTCGTCGACGGCGGCACAAGCAACATATGCGAATGCGTTCACGTGCGCCACGTGCCGCTCGGAGCGACCGTCGAGATTATTCTCTTGGATCAAGGTAATTAGTCTCATCGAGCGTGATCAAAACGCAAATACGACGCACAATGTAACGCGCAGACAATATATCTCGTGTTCACGTTTTTGCATAAATTTTTTACTTTCTCTTTTTTTTCTCGATCTAAAGCTTACATCTAACATATTTATTTTATTTCGAATATAAAATGTCTAAAAAAGTACAAGTGAAATAATAGATTTTTTGTCCGCATGGATAAAGAGAATTTTTAGCGCAAAAGTCATGCTTGTCTTTGCTATGCTTTTCTTTTTTTTTATTTTATCAATGTTATATCTTTGCTTCATAATAAGTATACAAGATAGGCTGAAAAAAACTTCACACGTTTTTAATTTGTGGTCGACTAATTTGTGTGAGAAATATCGAAAAATAGATTAATTTTATTTTCGAAGGCAATGTACTGACATTTTTTTTAAATATTGAGCATTCTCATAATTATTTTTTAATTAAAAGTAATTCTTAAGATGTGAATAATTATGAAAAGACAATTGCATCGATTTTTTATGCTAGCCGTGAGAAGGAAAACAATGCATGTAAGGTTTTATATGGCAGCTCATTAGATCAATTATTACGCAGCTACAAAATCGATGACGCACGTGATTAAGATAATCTTCTAAATAAGACTGCACGTGAAACGACAGACCTTGGCGCGCAATAGAGTATAGGCTCGATGTCCTTGAACTACATTTCGTGTTTGCTACAAAAGCGGGAATTATTGATCGAAACGTGTTTCGTTTTGATAAATCATTTCTCGCGAAGTTTTTATTACCCCCTCTTAAGAATAATATTCGCTGTGTCATCAGGATTTCTTCTAATATAGCTGCATCAGCTAAAAGAAATCCTGTGACTTCTGACAACAACACGTAGACGGATATTGATTTCCCTTATAAAGCTTCGCGATTATATGAACTAATCACAGCATCAACCGTGATATATTTTGCATTATATTTTATTGACTCTATGTGAATAGAGACAACTTCCTGAGTCTATTAAACCTGTTTTTGGCTACAAAAGTTCTCATACAATTCGAATAAATGCATAGTAATTTATGATGTGAATAATATTCAGCAATAATTTTGTAGTATTATGGACTCTATCTATTAATCTGAATAGCTAATCGATCATCGATTTATGACAGGTGGTCTGGACGATCTGGTTTACCATTTACACGGCTACAGTTTTTATGTAGTGGGTGCCAGACAGTTTGGGCGAAGTATGCCACTGCAAGAGGTGAAAAAACTGGATGAGAGAGGACAACTGTTTTTGCGAAATGTTGACTGCGCGCCGATTAAGGATACCATCGTCGTACCCAAGTTTGGCGCAGTGGCATTGCGATTTAAAGCTGACAATCCGGGTAAGTTTTCTTTGTTTATTTGAAAATTGTAAATTATCTTATTGTATATTGCCCAACTCTTCTTCATCAGTGAAGTACTCAATTTTCCTTCTCTTTTTCTGATTGTCCAAGTTTTCTTTCTAAGTCGGTATGTTTCCCCTGCAACATTCTTAGTTGTATTTATAGTTGATTGATTCTTGACGATAATTAATTCTTTTCTCTCTCAGCTATTCTCCACCTCATATACAGTAGTTCATTATATCTTCCATAATTTTCTTGGAATACAGCTTGATTCTTTTGAGTTATATCCGCTTGTAAGGGGATAATTGTCTGCTGCCTATTTTTATATTAGGATTTGACTTGTTATTTTTATAAGTCCTATTATTATCAAACAACGGTTGACCTCCCCCAGAATCCTTGAGATCAGCCTCAAAAGAGGGTGGATTGCCCAGATTATTACCCGGAATACCACCTAGGGTAGTTTCTTCCAAATTAGATTTTTCCATTGTTCGAGTTCATAATAATAATAATAATAATTGCTAGTTTTGGTCCATTCTGGATATTTTATTTCCCCGGCAACCTCCGGTGAACCGGCGAGTATTCCTCAATCTGCCACCTGAGGAGGCGCCCGATGGGGGACTAGCAACCCCGCACGAGATTAATAATTTGTGAATTAAAATTAGGATTTATTTTAAATTCCTTGAGAAATAAATTTCAAAACGTTCGATAAACAGTGAAATATTGATTTTGCGTTTGAAATTTTTATTTGATTGAAAGTTTAGTCTGTTAATTTCAAACGCAAGAATTTTCTATTAAACTTTTTTGAAAGTTGCAACAAAAAATAATTTCCCTCGACAATTTTATGAAGAAAATATTGACTATAAAATTAAGCATTTTATGCTTGATCAAATTAATTTGATAACGTGATACTTTATATAACAGCAATACTGAGCGTCAGCTGCGTGAAATTAATTTATGATACTTTCACTTGGCTTTTACAGGTTATTGGATGTTGCGGGATGAGCACGCGGCTGATTGGACTCGCGGTTTGGATGTTATTCTACAAGTTGGAGAACCTACCGACATGGTGGCTGCGCCACAGGATTTCCCTAAATGCGGATCCTTTGTGGGACCAGATTACTTTCTTATATAGACTGTTAATTACTAAGTTAATTACTAAGTTAAATATGTATATAATTGTATATAATTATTATATTAACGACATAACGATGGTGCTTTGAATATATCCATAATCGCAAGTAGATAGATTTTACAATATTTTTTTTACGAATAAATATCCATTATTTTTACGAATGAGCACATTACATTTCCACTCGTGTAAAAATCTTCCACTCTACTTCTTTAAATTGCGTCAATGTATCTTTTTTCTTCGCAAAAATTTAATTGAATGCCGAACTTTTCCTTCGTAATTCCTCTATTTTCAACTTAAGTAATTTGATATAACTTCGGATATGTCTTCCGGTAAATAAATTGTTCTAAGAATCCGCAGCTAAAGCGTGCGTGTTCGCGCAACTTGGCAATTTTCAACTTTTAATTGAGCTTTTAATTATATCATAGTTACAAAGTGAGCGTAATTTGGAACTAGAATAATTAATGCGCGACTTTTAGCATACCGGTCATAGCTTTTGCCTTCATCACTCGATATTCTAAACAAGCGACAGGCGCTGTCGCGATTCATTTCAGCACGCACGTCAGGTTCTTTCGCGCCTTTCAATGTAATTGCGTGTAACCGCGATTTGCTCGTTCGCGCGGCGATAATCCCGAAGGATCAGACTGACGCGCAGCCTCGTCAGTGATGTCCTGCCTAAGCGCTTTGCACTTGCAGATAGCGACTTTGTTCTCGGTGCCGCACGAGATTCTGCTGCTGCGACACAGGGTCTTCCGCGAGTATGCCAAGATCGCGGTCGGGCCGGATTTCATCCACACGCTGCCCTCTTTTCTAATTCTGACAGCCGCGGTGCTCGTCCTTTGGAAAAATCCTCCATTCTCCACGCGCATTATGGATCTAAGCGTGACATTTGTTTATAAAGGCTTTCAGGTACGGAAATTGCCGGGGTGTAGCTAATGTTTTTTTCACGCGCACAATTGTGCCTTTCAAGGTGTCAGTCAGCTGGCTCGCGGTTAATACGCTTTTATGGCTGTGGCTGATCCTTCAGAGAATACTCTACTGCAGCGTCTGGCATTATTGGAGTTACGTGAGTAGACTCTTTATTATTCGTCTATTATTATTCGTCTCGTAACTAAGCTTTCGTAACTCTCCAGAATTGTCAGCAATTTGCTTTTATATAATAGAGACCTTTAAGCGCCTTAAAGTGAAAAAATATAGCTATCTAAAGTTTTCTCCAGAAAGAAGAATGATTACGATGTCTTAAAGAATAAAAAGAATTGTAAATAATTTTAAACAGATAAATAGCTTTCTGGTTATTTTATAAATAATAAATAATCATGAGTCATAAGTAATTTCTAGAAATATTCCAAGTTCGAAATAATTAGATTAATTGCATCACTTGACACAAAAATCATTTGTAGAATATTATGTTTTGAGAAGGTTGGTTTGATCGATGCAGGAGTCTGAATATCGAGATATTTCGTATCCTTGGTGGCATCGTGTTTGGTCCACATACTATCCTGCACCTGTGCAGCCGCCAATGATGTCGGCTAGTTTTCTTAGCTGGCTCATCACGATGTCGATCGCGACAATCGTGTTAGGATGCGCAATATTTACAGATCGCGTGAAAACTTCCATTAAAGAAATTTCAACTAAACTTTGGAAAGCGTTTGCGGTGGTAAAGTCTTACACGCAATGGTTCCGTAATAGGTTGGTATTGCGGTTGACGCTTTAAACATCACTTTTTTTTTGTTTCCGTAAATCTATTGATTAGAGACTTGATTTATTATTTCTTGTGTAATGTGTAATGTAAAAAATTCGTTCCTTTATAATATTGCATTCTATAAAAAATTGACAGTTGATAAAATAAATAATTAAAAATTAAAGTAAAAAATAATATGTTTAATAATAATTTGTAACTAATATTCTTTAAATTTTCATGCTCGTTCTCATAATCAGAACGCGAGAATCCATAAGTTCCGAGGTAATCGCAGTAATGGACGACAGTGAAATCTGTTCAGTTTGCGACGACGGTCGCTCAGAAACATCGACCGAGCCGATCAGCGCGGCGCGAGGGGACATACATCCGATCTCCTATGGAACGAATTGGATGCCACAGCCGAATTTCAACATGTTCAAGGAAGCGCAACGAAAGCTATCGATGAAATCCTTTCACACCGTGGCAGGCATAAATGACACTCAAGTACAATAATAAAACGAAACGAAACAATACAAAAAAATTTTTTTAAATAATAAATTATCTTTTTTTAAATATTTAATTTGACGATAATTTTTATATATCTTATTTTAAAACGTTACTTTTTCTTCTTAGATAATATCAATAATTATTGTTATTTTACATAACCACAAAAATTAGTGCAAATTAACTGTGGACTTATGCAGTTCTTTCATTTTTCGAGTAGAGAATTTTTTTTCTAATTTTGTTGAAATTTTGAAAAAAAATTCTAAATTCTCTTAGACAACTAATGATGCGATACAATATCATGTCAATCGTTGCTTTCAGGATGCCGATAAGCTTGCGGCGAAGCAATTGCGACATCGACGTGGCTGTCACACTGTGATACCAAGTAATTCCAGCGAGCAATCGAGTGGATGTTGAAGGAACTTGTCAGTGCTCGTTGAATGGTCATCTAAACACACTTCAGAGTAATCGAGTAATCTAATACGGAATAAAATTTTTTCGAAGATGGCACGGCAATTTTATAGATGATATTTAACTTGAAGAAACGCCGTGATGGCGTTTACGTGTCGATAAGATTTATAGTTTCGTAATACTTGTGCGCTCAGTTTACACAAAATTTTCTACAGAAATATTTTATACAAGTATATACTTGGGACTTTATTTTTGAGATTACGTTGATCGATAGGCAAAAGACCGTAGAACGAATGCAATAATTACATAAACGTAACTAACGTGCGTAACGTTACGTAATACGAAGATCGCGTGCTACTCAATATCAATTATATTGATAGAATATGTATATATATATAAATCTTTTATATAAATAAATATGAATTTATAGCACTTGATTGAGATAACTTTTTCCACTCCTTTAAAATATATTATTTATATGCAAATAAACTCATAAATTTATAATACCTTTTAATGTGCATCACAAGCCAATTTTTCTTTCAGTGATAATTTTGTTGACAGTCATTATCACGCGACAGAATTCTTTGTTACTTTATTATTAATCTACAGTTTTCTAGTCGATTGTTATCTTTATCAAGATACACTGCTTAAAACGAGTAACTGCTTTACATTTTATATTTTACAATTTTACTGATTCCGCATTCAAGAGCTTTCAATTTTAATATTTTAATATTTTAGTTATCCCAAATTTTTATATTCAACTTTATATTTTTTAATTATACTAAATTTTGTATTCAATCTTATTTTCCGTAATATTTGCTTGTAGAAAGAGTAGTATTTGATCTTTACTTGTTAAAATACATTAGTTCTAAAAACGATCTTAAAATCACTGTTAAAAATTGAAAGAAAAAACAAAAAAGAAACTACAAAAGTACTGTAAGAATTATTAAACTGTAGAAACAGAATTAAGCCATTGCAACCATTTCCTCGTTAGTATCTTTAAAAGAGCGTAACAAAATGTTATTTCGCGACAAAAACACTTTTCTCGGTCTCTTTGATTATTTATCGAGTAAAAGGTCCTGCCGCTCCACCAGACCCCAGGACTCCGCTACTTCCCTTCGCCGGCTAGAAGGAGGAGGAGGAATGCACGGAGACGCGCATGCGTCTGAAGAGGGGTAACATTCCCCATCTTGAACCGGAGTATTATTCTGTAACTGCATCTCTTGTGGGGTAGGTCGCAGATATTTGTGACACCAAATAAACCTCGTCCGCTACGAAAGTGCGCTTTTCTGAAGGTCAACCCTGACAAGTGGATCGACGCGAGTCATCTGAAAATCGATTCCGGCCGGGAAAAACCTCTCCGGCGACAATCCAGATTTAATCCTGAAGCGGACTCGGGCGTGAACGACTCGTTGCGGCGTAACCAGCACGTTCGCTTTCTCGTACGATGTAATTAATACACGCAGCATCAAATTTCGCGATTATCACGAGTCACGGAGGATCGACGATCACGGCTGCTACATTGGAACTCTGTACAAATTCTTTGGTAAGATCTCTTTTCATAACGTCGTTTCGGAGCAGAATTTTCTTGCAACAGCAATGAACGACTACAATACTTAAATATACATGTCCATTTCGCTGTGTCTACGTGATCTACATCTCTGCCTAAACTTTAAATTTTGCAACCTAAAGAAAAAAACTTCCTGTCAGTGAAAAGTATTGAGACGTAAAATATCGAGAATTTAAAATATCGAGACGTAAAATGTCTTTTAAATGTTACAAAAACTGTATGAATTTAATTGAAATTGATATTATTCCTCCTATAAATTGACAATAAGTTTGTTAGCATGTTTTGTTTAGCATGTGAGTGTTTTGATCAATAAACATTATGCGTTATACAATTAAAATTTTCGAACACGATCTACGCCATTCGTTTAACGACCATAAATTTTTCCTCGCGTAGTCAAGTGTATAATGCAAAAGCATTATCGTCGCTGTGCGTAGTTTATTATGGCAAGAAGATCGTGATACTACGATAATAAATATATTCATCATCGTTTTTAAATATTTTAGATATTTAAATAGATAGCTATTCAAATCATATTTTTAATCCTATTTGTGATGTATTATAATTAGGTATTACATTATTGAGACGTATCACACATACACAATTTGCATTTAAATATAAAAGATTTTAAAAATATCGCAAAGATGAGTAAACATTTTTATGCTAAATAATGCTGCGTATATTTCAGTATTCTTTATGAGAATAAAATATCATTGGATTGATTTCTTTATCAATTATGAAACAATATACTTTTCATATTTTTCGTATTACTTTAAAATATATTTTTTCCCTTTACATTCTTAATTTTTCTGTAATTTTCTCCCCGTCTATATTTATATATATATATTCATATTTTACGTGACTTCTTTCAATTTGCAATATTTAAATATTCCCATTGATTCAGCCCAATCATGTTTTGACGCAATCGTAGTCAGATCTGACATCAGCGAACCTGGCGTCGCGTCGCGTCCGAATTTTACGAGGTTCACGGTCCACGTGTATACATAGACGCGATGTAAACTTGATATTGATTTTGCGTTCAGCATCCGCGCGTAGAGCGCGCGCACGGTCGAGAATGACGCGCACGACTACGCGCCGTTGCGCGCATATGGACGCGACATGCACACATATGTATTCACAGCGCGTCTGTACACACAGTTTGGCACGTGTACCCTCTTCATCGCGAATTGGCTAGACTACAATGGAAAAAGAAGCAGGGTGGTAGAGAGAAAGCTCCTGAAGGAGGGGAGTTTTCAATGACCAAATACACGAGGTGTACACGCGTGCGACGTGAGGATAATACGCGCGAATAATCGCGACATATTGAATAAGAAACCGGTTGCGCAGATCCCACCCTAATCAACGAGACCGAAAGAAAAATTTTGCAGATGTAAAATCTGTGGCTCCAACGAATTGAAAGTAAACTTAGTTTAAATATTTTTTTAGACGGCGATAGATAATGAAAATCTAATTAGTTAAATTTAGTTTGTTAATGTGATGTGAATGTGTGTGTGCAATTAGACATGTTATTGGAAAAGCATTGTTTTCCGATGAAAATTTCACATAAATTTTAAAGCTTAATTAACAGATTAATCATGAAGATATTCAATATTGAATTTTAAAAATATGCAAAAGAAAATTATAACATTTAATTAATTTTTTACGAACGAATTAATAAAAGATTGAAATAAATCTGTTAAAAAGAGTATTAGTATTTTTCTTTGCACAACTAAAACAAAGAGAGAGAGTTTCTCTTTTCCCTTAAAAGCTTATTTTATATATATATAAACATGTCTAGATTATATAGTATTTTTAATAATATTGAGAACAAAGTAAATATTCGTTATTTTCGATAAATTTCAGGACAATTGTCAACTTGTAAATGTCAGAATATTCAATAATTCAAAATAAATAAACACAATCGTAACGCTTAATATATTTATATCGTTAGTCACCGCTATTAGCATGGCGGTACCTATTTCAAATACTAACGCAATATTACATCATTTAACATTATACTATTTAAAAGGTTAGTAAGATTTATGGTGCATTATGTACTATGGAAATACATACAATATATGTCGCGCCGGAAAATTAGATTAATGAAACACAGTCGGTTATTGGAAAAGCAATTCCCGAACGAACTCTCGTAATTGCCCAGCTTGATATTGCGTGCCGGGGCTTATCGGAATGTGGGCGGAGAAATTTACCGTAAAGGTGCATCACGTTTTTTATGAATGCAATAAAAGGTCACGACAAAATATTAGCATTGGAAAAAATATGCCCTAATGCTATTGAAACTCGTATCACCATTGATATTACCTAGATTTATCAATTTATTGAAAGGAATTTTCTGAAAACTTCACAAATAGAATAATTTAACAGAGATTTTGCGGAATAAAAGTAATTTATAAGGTCTTTCAAAGAAAATCTGCAGAAATTCAAATATGTCTTAAAATTTTATGATCGAAAGAAATATTGACAAAAGATGAAGTTTACTTCATCTCCTTACTATCGGGATGCCTCCATTGCGTAAGAAAATATTCGACAATTTTATAATAATCGATCGTGCATGAAGGTCGTAAGAATTTGCATATCATCCCTTCAATTACGTTCAAGGATCAATTCCTGCTCTCCATACTAAAGCGTCAACTTCCGACGTGTTTCAGATTCCATGGCGGAGAAAATGTATTACTGGGGCGAGGAGAAGGATCAAGTCGATCCGGACCAGACCTTCATAGAGTTCAAGGCCAAATCGGTGGCGGCGGATAAGAGACGCGAACCGTCACGTACTGTGCCGAAGATGACAGTGTCTTCGCCACAGGGTAAAATGACTGAGATTAGTAACAGGGAGGAAGACGCCGAACGCGGCGGATGGGACAATAAACTCGACTTCCTGTTTTCCTGCATAAGTGTTTCCGTCGGGTTGGGGAATGTTTGGCGATTTCCCTACCTTTGCTATAAAAACGGAGGCGGTAAGTTGAAACAAAAGTTTGCAAATTTGCGAATAAACAATTTGAGCAATCAGAGTCTCGAGTATTGTTTTATAATATCTATATTATTCTAAAATTATTTTAGTTTAATAATTTTAATTTTATTAAAATAAGATAATATAGTTAAAACTAATCTACTTTTAATTCTCTCTCTGTATTATTCTATAAAATAAGATTCCTAATCTATTCCTTGTTCTAATAATTATATTAGATATTATAAAATTTCAATTATCGTTATCATGCCAAATGAAACACATATTTTGCGTCAGCAGCATTAAAAATACTTTTTATAATTAAAATTCTCATGTTTCGTGTTCGATCATTTTAACGTAGAGTTTTCAAATACCGTCCTATTTAGAAAAGTTTCTCTAAAGTAATAAGTTTTGCCGCTATATAAGTCCAGGACGCAAACAGCGTCGGATTTCAGCGTCGTCCGACATTCATAATTGGCTCCCTAGTTTACGAAGTCACGCAATCCTTAACGCGAGAAAAGCGGCGTGTGCTAAGATTTAGTATCGGATTTTTTTTCCGAGTTTAATTACAATCTTGTTGTTAATTAAGTTTCTTTTACATTTATGTAAAGACGCAGAAAAGAAGTGAGAACAAAGTTATTTATATTCAGATTGCAAACGGTAGATTATTTATATTTTTACACCTCAATTTAAAAATAATTATTATTTAAAATCTTGTAATTTTGCTGCAGGTGCTTTTCTGATCACTTATGGCATCGCAATGCTGTTTTGCGGGATCCCTATATTTTTTCAAGAAGTCGCTATTGGACAATATCTCGGGGCTGGTGGAATGTCGCTAGTCGGACAATTGTGTCCTCTTTTGCAAGGTAAGCATTAGTTGCTGATACCTTCAAATCAAGATTATAACTCAAGCATTTGATTAATAATCGCGCAATGTGTTATTGTCGCATTTCAGGTGTGGGATACGCTACTATGACCATTGTATTTTTCCTCGACGTATATTATTGCATAATCATAGCTTGGACACTTTTCTACCTCATAAGCACGTTCGTGAATTTGCCCAATGTACCTTGGAGTGGATGTGGTGAGTAACACATCTTTTGATTATTAAAATTGAGTTATTAAATTTAAATTTATAAATATTGTATATAGTGTCGTTTAAAAAATTGGAAAACGACTAAAAATATTTAAATATATTCTTCGATGCATTTTAATTTCTAAAACAATATTTATACCAGAATTTTGAAAAATGTGAAATCTTTTTTAATATTTATTATTGTTGATATTAGATTAACGTTATGTTTATTATAGAACGCCCTGTTATTTTTTTTCCTTTTCAGAAAATTGGTGGAACACGGATGATTGTTTCGATGCAGCCAAAGGAAGCCAAGGCATGCACGGAAAAATGAATTGTACGAACTCCGTAGAAAATAACAATACCTGCCATCATACTACGCCAGTAGAAGAATATTGGGAGTAAGTAAAGTATTATTAAAATATGAACAATGTGTCTGTAAAATACATACTGCTATGGTAACTCTGCTCCTTATAGAAAACCAATTTTGTTTTTTTTTTCTTTTTTGAAATCAAACTTTTCCAGCTCTCTGAGTTTAATCAAACAATCCCTTGCATCTCTTGTGCACATTATAGTGCGCCTGTGATATAAGTTGAAAGGTATCAGGGGATATAAAAAGTACCAAGGGATTTGCTTGCGCGATATAAGAACTTAGAAAGACGACATTGATTTTCTCAAATCAGGTCAGAGCGAGTTCGCTCATGTATAAATGCATTTACGTAATGTATAATGTCGAGGATGATGGTCCCGGTAGAATTTGTTTACACATGCACCAAAATAAATTTGCAATTTATCAGTTTGGTATTGACTCATTAGATTTTTTATCTTTTAAGACAAGGAGTAAGAAAAGCAATTTTGCGATGTAAAAACGAGACTTTTGCACATGCGCACATTATTAATGTATAATGCGTGTAATTCTTATGCAATCTGATACTTATTGCGTGCTAATTATTGCGCTTTACATCTAACGTCATTAAATTGATGCAAAAAGCTTGTCACATTTGTCGAGTATACTTGAATACAGAATACAGAATTACAGAGTTTCCAATCATTTCTCCAAGCAATTTTTCCCAAACGCTTTTCATCTGTAAACAAATTGTTATACGTCTGATTTAAGTTCTTGGAAAGAAAAGTAATAAGATTATTTAAGTAGACCCTCGCGAAAATGTGACAAACTTCTTAAGCTAATCAGCAGCGTTCGCGCCAACTTATCGCGTTAAATTTTCAGTCAGCGAGTGCTCGGCATCACATCCGGCATCGAGACTATCGGCAAGATCCAGTGGGAGCTGCTAGGCTGCCTGATTGTCGGCTGGCTGCTCGTTTACTTTATCATCCGGCGCGGTCTACATCAGAGCGGTAAGATCATCTGGTTTTCAGCCTTGTTCCCGTACGTGGTGCTTTTCATTCTTTTGGGAAGAGCGGTGACGTTGGAGGGTTCCTACGAGGGTTTGCTTTACTACGTGACACCGCGATGGGAGGAATTGCGCAATCCCGGACCGTGGATAGACGGCGCCACCCAGATCTTCTTCGCGTACAGCATCGGCACCGGCGCGCTGCCCGCCTTGGGCTCGTACAACAAATTTCATCATAATTGTTATAGGTAAGCGACGTGATGTCCCCCTTCAATGACGATTATCGACAAGACGTCTCGCTTCCGCAGCGTTATATTTTGATAACCAATTTTTCACCAACGAGATTGTCGAGGCACGAATCTAATAGATGATAGAAGCGCATTTTTCCTTCGATAACAGAACATAATTCTTTCGAGGCTGCAATCGCCGGTTTCGCAGCTCCAAGTGGTGCGATTAACGTGTATCGCCGCTATGCTAATCTATTTGATCTTATTCGTAAATTACAACTCAAGAATTACGTAGTTACGTGGTCACTTTGTGTAGCGCTCTACTCTTTAATCACGACGCACTCCACGCAGTGTCGTCGCTGCTGGAGTCTTTGAAAAAGGGAGTTTTGTCTTGCAGAGACGCAATAATCACTTGCGTAGTCAACACCCTGACGTGTCTTCTGGCCGGTTGCGTAACCTTTTCGATACTGGGTCACATCGCCCAGGAACAGCAAACGCAGGTGTCCGAGGTCGTCAAGAGCGGGCCTGGTCTCGTGTTTCTCACGTATCCCGAGGTCGTTCTCAAGCTACCCGGTGCTTCGTTGTGGGCCATTATATTCTTCGTTATGCTGCTCGTAAGAAATTGTTATTCGGACGACGGCATCGGCTGTCGCCGTCTATGTTTGTTAATATGCGTCGCTGTAAAAGGGTCTGGACACGTTGTCGCCCTCAGCAGGAAGCTTCTTTCGACGCATCATGATTTAATGTCGAACTGTTTGCTCCTTTGCCAAGAAAGTTTGTGAAATGTTTATGGAAGACAATATAAAAAAAGTTAAAGAAAACATTTTTCTAACTAAATTTATTTTTGATAGCAAATTTAAATTTTTATGATTAGAATTAGAATTTAAATGATGCAATTTATATACAAAACAATATTGACGTAATCAAATTCGATATTTATGATACTTGCATCTTGTTTCCCGTAAACATTTCACAATTTATAAATTGACGATTTAATGTAATAATTATTTCAGTCAAACTCGTGCAATTTCTGCCCGGAGAATCTTCCCTAAGAAAAGATATAATCCGTAGCTCATACATTATTGTTCATGTACAATTGTTCTATTAAAATAATTTTATAATCAAGATCAATTGATATTAAAAATTAATCGTAGATTACAACGACAAGAAGTGAAAAATTTCTAATTAATAGATCATTAAGTAGATTATTAAATAGTCATAATTTTGGTATAATAATGTAATAGCTGCTTATTACGGAATATATGTTAAATATAAACTATAGATTTTGGAGCAAGGATTAAGCGTGGGGGAGTTAGAATTCTGCCCCTTCTTTGAACAAATATAAAGAACAATTATATACAAATTGCTATGTGTCTGTCTACGCAGATACTCGGCATTGACAGTGAATTTTGCATCGTGGAATCTTTCATAACGGGTATGGTTGACTACTGGCCGGACGTGCTGCGTCCTCACAGGATCAAATTCACCATAGCTATCTGCCTGATAATGTTTCTTCTGGGAATTCCGATGGTCACGAACGTTAGTATGCAAAATCATATCGGAATTAAACTGACGCAAATAAACAATTGAAAGTTTAAAGTGTAGTAAAAATGACAAAAAAAAAATCAAGATGTTTTACGTTTCAGGGTGGAATTTACATCTTCCAACTAATGGACTTCTATTCCGCGAGTGGAATGTCCATTCTGTGGGTATGCTTTTTCCAGACAATCGCAATATCATGGATTTTCGGAGCGCAGAAATTCTGCGATTGCGTGCATCAGATGATGGGAATTCGATTAAATAAGTTCTGGTACATATGTTGGGTTCTACTTGCACCGGTGATCATGCTCGTAAGTATGATATATTACATTTGCATTAATTTCACCGCTGATCAACATTATTGTTTCGCAAAAACATTTTCACATAACAATTACAAATTATAACCTAGATTATAAGCTAAATTTCTAGAAAATAAAATGTATGCGTAGCAAAACTTTTTCAAAAACATTCTTCTCTTTCAGTTTATCTTCGTGTTTCAAATCGTGCAATATAAACCACTGAAATACGGCAGTAGCTATGAATATCCAACGTGGGCAGAAATAGTAGGCGTGTGCTTGAGTCTCTCCTCAATGATATGGATACCAGGTTATGCACTGTATTACGTAATAATCACGCCAGGATCGATAAAAGAGGTAAATCTGAATACAACTTGCGTGTAAATTGTATGCATATGAAAAAGTCATTTCGAATTATCGCGCATATTATAATGGCCGCAATTATTTTAAGTTGCCTTACACGAGTCGCAGATATAATTTACCTTCACTACTTCTTTTGCAGAATATTCTGAAGGGTTTGCAGCCGAACATAAAATCGCACACAAAGTTACCGAAAGGCGAGAAGTCAGCCGTGATACCCATGTCAGAGAGCAGCGCAGGTTTAATCACCAAAAATAATAGTTTTTTGAGTCAAACATGATTAGCACTAGCGATCGCTTTTAACTCGTATTAGGTTATATTTATCTTAAAAGTAATATTTAAATAGTAAGATAAATAAAGTGAGTCCAGCGCAACTGGACACTTAGTAGTAATTTGTGTCAAAATGGACGCGTGTCAAATCGATCAGTTTTATATAATATGCTCAGTTAGGCAGCAATCATATTATTATTTATTTAACAATAAGTCATATAGTATTATATTCATTTGATGACGTATTTCCGGTAGGAATGTCAGAGATTCTTAATTCCTTAATGGCTGGTTGCGTTATTATAAAATTTCAATAATCTTCAATTTTTTGTTATTTAAAAACAAAATTTTTTTGTTTTTACGTAAATTATGTTCAGAATTTAATTATTTAAAAAATTGAAAATCTCGAATAATTTATCAAATAAAAGAGAGAAAAAAAAAAACAAACAAACCAACGCAGAAAATAAAAATATCTTAAAAAAATTATTTATATTATTTATTCAATCTACGAGTAATCTTCAGTAAAATCATCATGAGTTAATATAAACAATTCTTTTAAAATACACACTGCTGTTTTCTATATTTCTATCTTGCATTGGCGCGTATATCTTTTTTTCTTTTCTTCTTAATTCTGCAAAATGTTTGGTTAAAATATGAATTGCACCAGCTGTTAAAGTTTTAAGATAGATAATTCAACTGACAAGAAAATTACTTGAGGATCGCAGTTTAATGATTCGTCTGTGTTGACCAAGCTGATAAGATACTCAGTAAAGAGTATAATAAGTATTGGAAGCGGGAAGGAGTACTTATAGAAGTAATAATAGTATACCGCGCTAGTATTCAGATACCTATTTATGGGGACGATTTAAAAGAAGTATATTTTTATATCGCGATCATGTCGCGATAAGTGTATGAATTTTTAAGGAGGAATCGTTTAGTTGATAATTCGACTGGTTTGTGAGAACTGCAAGTTCTCTCATATCGAAGAACGACGAATGCGAGCTTTCAAGATAATTATGTTCCCCGTGATCGCTTACATCTCAAAACGGTACACTCGCGAAGAAGGCTCTTCTCGGTGAATGCATTCAAGGATTTGTTGCAACTCTATGAAATAAAATAGAAGCTTAGCGTATAGAATAAGTATGGTTAATGGCAGTTACTAAATATATATTCAATATACTGAAGTACAAGTAACGAAGTAAAAATATAATTCTCGTATAGATTTTGAGATGATTCAGTGCGTTCACTGAGAAGAGGTATTTTTAATTCCAACCAGTCGCAATAATCAACTGGACCGTAGCAGGATACAGAATATTTCTATCAAAGCAAAGCAGTTTCTACTGCATTCAACTTCGACAGCACAAAAATTTTAGAGGGTTTTTTTCACGTTTCGCATTTATAAAGCGTGAATTATGACGCGATTATGATGTGATGTAGGATTAAAGCGACGTATAAATTTTCGTTAATTGTTTACTCAAAACTACATTTCTTTAGAGCCGGTAATGTATTCTTCCAATTTTATAGTGATTGTTGCAGAGATCATTGATGTCGAAAATTGATGAAAGCTTCCAATTAATAACTGAGTATTCAGTGTCTGAGACACGTACTGTGACAGTATTTTATAAAGTTGAAGTTAAATTTAGAGGAAAAATATGTTATATATATGAAATTAATCAACAGAAATTGAGATTTTTATTCGATAAACAATGTTATTCTCTATTTAAGGGTTTGAACAGGGTTTTAATTTATTCCATTAATTAGAGGTATTCTTTGCAAAAAATTGGCTGTAATAAAATACAAAATTAATTTCTCTTATCATAATTACTTCCGTTATTTCTATTGTTTCAAACCTTTATTTCGTGATGTAAGGATATTTTTATTCGAGAAAAAGCTTCTTATTTGTTCGGAAAATACAAAAGCAATAACGATACATAATACAAAGTGACTGCTTTTTTCAACCGGCCTAATTCTTTGGGATATTTTTCTCTTATGTAGAGTAATCGTAATCGCAAAACGCTATTCGTCGAAGTGTTAGAATTGTTGACGTTGTACAATACTAAGGAATGGCTGATAGCTTAACGCGATATTCGTTTCTATTTTAGTACCATATTGTTGCAATGCAAAGTACTTCCGATAGTAAGCTAAGCACCGAACGGTATTATAAGCCAGTTGGGTCTGCGTTGAACAACATGCATTTATAACAGCATGAATCATTTGTGATTTTGTTTAACGTTTGATATATCGACAGTTACAATATGTATTTTACGCTGGTTTAAAACAATGACTATGTCAAATAATCATGTGAAAATCAAGTATTTATATATGCCGGGCGCAAATCTCGATCATTTGATTATTAAAGAATTATCAACGAATTATCCAATGACACGCGAACATATGAAAAATTCTTTCACACCTATTACAAAAGTAAAAATCCACGTTGTGACCGTATGTGTGACATTGCAAACATTTGTTCAGCGTAATAACGTATTTCAACACGTAACCGTGTCTGTAAATGTATTCGATGTTACGTACACAAGCACGATCAGATACGAGCATAAATTTCCGCAATTATTTACACGACAATATCTGCATGTGTATTAGCGCCGAACGGATTTGTCAACCGTATGGATAATTTGATTATGGCTCTACGAATCGGTGTGTTCGCAGCTAGAAATCCGTACAAAGAATTAAATTGTTACACGAATTATATTTCTATATAAATATATATATTACATGCACGTTTTATACAGTGTATAATAATATATATATATAATCGTAAGAAAATCAAAAAGCTCTGAGCCCAAGCAGTATTGTTTTTGTAAACGGAAATTAAATGCGATATATATAAAACAGAGAAACTCGATTGTTTTTCCATTGCTACGAAACTTTTTCGCAATTTAAGTTGGTCGCAAATTTTATCGAATCTTCAATCTTTTACTCTACGCGTTCGATGCATAAAAATTGTTTATCTCGTTTATATTATTCCTTTACAAATAACCATAATTAATGAAAGATTAATACACACTTGTTTATTTCTAAATATCTCGTAAAACATTTTTACAAATTTTGCTAAGAATATTTAAATTTCGTTAGCTATAAGTATATAAAAATTTATTTAGATGTAGATTTTTTTGTCATTTTACAATATTCGATTTATTTTATCATGGAATGATATCTTAGTTGTATTTTTCATTTTTCACATTAGAGTAATGTAATTTTGATTGCAAAGATGCAAACCATTTGCGTAACATTAATTTTAAGAAGTTTTCTGCTTGAAATTTTTTATTAATGCGTTCGTATTGCGGAATTTATCGACTGCGTCATTACACTACAGCTATAGCGAACCTTGTATCTTCAGAGCCACAAGCAATTTTATTGCACGGATGATGAAAAACGTATAATAGAGAGACGGTGTGTAAGAATTTTTAAATATCTTTTAGAAAACCAGATAGTGTGTAACTCAAACTGCAATGTTGTATGTGCTCGAGTATGAAAAATTACTCGACGGCCAAAATTCGTTTGAATTCATATTTACTTACGATTAGTTTCTAAGCGGCATGCGTTAATTAAGAACAATGCATTATTTGCGAATGTACGTTGGCTTAATGCATTGGATGTTTCACATATTTATGACATTATGTATACGTTTCCGGCTAAATTGTATCTCAATCTATGTACTTGAATAAATATTAACGCCTATATTATTGTAGAAATTTCTAACAATTATCACACAGAACAATAAATTATACTTTACACTTGATCACTTATACAACATCTAAATATTGATAAATATTTGTTTATCCACCGTTTATTAATTTTTATTATACTTCTTTTTATAATCACTTGTTAGTTAATAATTATTTTAGACAGCGTTATAAATTGCGGATTAAATGCAGACACTAACTATAATCGCTATTCGTGTCAAAATTTTGATTGCTAACAGAATTGCATATGGAATTGTATATAGTGATTAACAGATATGAGTAGAACAATGAATTGTTGTAGACATCGTTAACAGTAATGGATATTCATAATGAATGATTGTAATGCTTTGATGATGTTCACTTCAACAAATCTGATCACTGCCAAATGCATAATTAATTTACAAACAATACAATTTAACGACAAATGATTGCAACGCCCGAGATATATAAGAGCTTCTCTAGTTTTTCTTTTAGATTTATTTTGAACCAGCGCGACGTCTATCAAACAACAAAATCGGAAATTTGTTATCTTTGCAGTTTCGTTGTGAGGAAATCCCGTCGAGAAACAGTTCAAAGAGCTTTTCGCAGAGACCATTATTACGACGGTAGAAATGCATTTCAATTGACGATCGCAAAATCGCGTCGTAGATGCAGCGGAAATACGAGTCGACCCTTTACAACATGCGGTGCATCAGCCAGACAAGTGCGGTTCATCATATTTCAGTTTCTCTGCATTTCCCGCGTTTTAACCTCGACTTTCTCTCATCTCGTGAAACGACACATCGTTCCATAACATGTTTTACGACTAAAGACAACGGGGTGGCGAAGTATGGAGGACCCTGTGTCTCGCGTCGTCTGTCGCGGTAAACCCGATCGTTATGCGGTCTTTTATTTTGCTACGGCGACTATTATCGCGGTACTAGCGCATCCTCCGTGGCCCACCACCTATTACCGCGGTCGCCAGCGACGTACCTTTTTACGTAGATGCGCATTTTAGCCCGCCATTAAAGCTTTCTTTCGAGCTTCGCTCGAAACGTTTCTTGACCGTGCGAACTACGTGAAAGAATAAATAATGCTAGAGTGAGAAAAATTGTATTTTCTCTTTTTTTTCTAGAATGTTTTAATAAAAAAGAATAGTTTCAAGTATTAATTTTTTTCTAGAAAACAAATGAAAATTGAAGAATAAGTTTAAAATCAATTAATCATACAAAAATCATATAAAATAAATTAAAATTAATTGTAAGCTAAATGCGGGTGAATCGAATCGGCAAAGTGGATCATTTTTAAAAATTTTATTTGACTGATTGACATTCGTTTTAATTAAAAAATTAGATATGGATAATTTAAATAAATTTATTACATTATTATGTAAAATATTTAAACACAATCCGCATCGCTTATCGATCCAGAAATCTAATTTCCTAATTTGCAAAATTTTAATAGTAAAAATTAGCGAGATATTAAGATATGCTTTTCATTCTTTAATTTTGCTCTTTAATGACCTTTTCCGGCTTTTCTTTGTTTCTAAAGAGTCTGAAAAATTGCACAGCCTGAAAGTTGGCACATACAGAATGTCACACAACTCGCGCCATTTTTTTATACTAAAGCTAACGTGGATTGATAATCTGAGAATGAAGCAGAAGAGAGTAGACATTTCTTTCCTA